GGGGGGGGCCGTGGCCGCTCAGCCCCGCCTGCCCCAGGTTTACAAGTCGTGCTGAAGTCCATCATGAAGGCGATGATCCCACTGCTGCAGATCGGGCTCCTCCTCTTCTTCGCGATCCTCATCTTCGCCATCATAGGATTAGAGTTTTATATGGGCAAATTCCACACCACCTGCTTCGACCTGGTCACAGGTGGGGGCTGCACCTCCCCCCAAATCACCCTCCAACCCCCCGGGCCCCCCCCAATCCCCTGCACCCCCTCAAATTTCCTACATCCCCCACAACTATTCCTGACTCCCTGGAAACTCCACAACCCTCTGCAAACCGACATGGGCATCCCCAAATTCCCTGCACACCCCTAGACCCCCTTAAATCCTCCCAAACCCCCTCCAAGCCCCCAAACCCTCCCCAAACCCTTCCCAAACCCCCTCCAGCACCCCCCATACCCCACAACCCTCTGGAACCCCCCTTAACCCACCCTGAATCCCCTCAACCCCCCATGAACCCCTCCCAAATCTCCCCCCTAACCCCCTCTGCCCCCCTCCCTGCAAGAGTTTCCCCCCCCCGGGGTGGGCTCGACTCCTGCCATGGGGCTGGGAGTGGGGCTGGGGGGGGCAGATCCTCCCCCCTCTCCCCAAATCTCCGCGGGCCCGTGGCCGGCGCTGGATTTGGAACGTCCTAATTCCTGCTCTCCCTTGATGAGGCCGTTAATTGGCCGCGGCTATTTCTGTCAGCGCCCTGCGGCGGGGAGGGGGGGTGTCCCGGGGACAGAGGGGGGTTCAGCCAGGTGAGACCCCACCCTTGTGCCCCCCTCCCAGACGAGATTCACGTGGAGGTCCCGGATCTGCCCCAACGGCCCTGCGGGGAGGGGGGGCACGGGGGGGAGGTCCTGGGGACAGAGTGGGGGGGTCCGGAGGGACACGGGGGGGTCCGGCCAGGTGGGATCCGCCGTCTGTGCCCCCCCCCTTCCCCCCCCAGCTGAGATCAAGGTGGAGGTCCCGTGCGGGACGGACGAGCCGGCGCGGATCTGCCCCAACGGCACCAAGTGCAAGAAATATTGGGAAGGGCCCAACTACGGCATCACCCAGTTCGACAACATCCTCTTCGCCGTGCTCACCGTCTTCCAGTGCATCACCATGGAAGGGTGGACCGACCTCCTCTACTATGTGAGCCCCGGGCCCGTCCCGGGGGGGTTTTGCCCCCCCGCGGGCCCATCCCGGGCTCCTCCCTGTCCCCTCCCGGGCCCCTCCTTTCCCCCATGGGAGCTGCCTCCTGTCCCACCCCGGGGCATCTTCTGTCCCATCCCCCCCTCCCCGGGTCCCACCCTGGGTCACCCCCTGTCCCCCCGGGCCCCCCCGTGTCCCACCATAACTTCATGTGTCGCTCGTGGGACACCCCCCCCCCCTCCCATTTCATGGG